TTAACTAGTTTTTTCAATACTAAAGTGAAGAGTTTAGGTTTTGCATTTAAAAAATAAGAAATGACGCTTAAACCTACCTAGACGCATGCTTAGCCCCGCCTAAGCACCTACTTAGGTTGCGACTCTCACTTAAACAGAAAATAGATAACTTTCATTTTGCATTTTATTTTTTCAATTTGAAAAAGATTTGTTTGATACTCGGATGAACACTCATTATATGTTTCCCCATGTTTTTAACATGTTATCGTACTTTATAATTTATATATCATTCTATTTTGTAATTTATGTATTTCAATATAATTTATATGATTGATCCCATTTGTTTATATGTCATACAATAAATTTAATTAAATTAAAAAACCACCTAGGCGCTAAACACCTGCTAGCCGTTCAACTAGCGTTTAGCGCATTTTAAAACCTTGAACCCATTGGATCAAATTTATTTCTAATAAGATCTACTAGATTGTCAATTTATTAACGTGCAGTGTCCACGTATAAAAGAAATAAAACAATGAGTTAGAGCCAAACTACTTTTTAATTTTATCTTTTGTGTTTAGCCTATGATTGAACGACCATCACCTCTTATGATAAATTTGCTAGATCGCAACTATTGCATGCTTAGTATAACTTAATTGGATACTTAATTGAGTTAGTTCTATCTTGTTTCAATAGGAGGGATTACAAAACTGGTATAATGTGTGAATGAATGCGACGAATACCAAATGACCCTTGTGGAAGTCGAGTCACGGGCAACGGAACGTTGAGCAAAGTAGGTTGGGAGACAATCCCAAACCTTCATGGAAGTGTCGCAACCGACAGTTAAAGAAAGAATGAGTTCTGAGAAGAGAATGGTAGTAAAAGGAAGAGAGAAGAACCATCAACGAATGTCCAAAGATCATGACCGACTAGAAAGGCTTTCAGTTGATGAAGCCAAAAAGGGTAATTAATTTCGGGTAGTTGGAGAAAGTAAGCAGTATTAGGGCCAGAATGAGAGAACTAAAAGGAGACACTACCGTTAGGAAGCTAGGGTTTGAAGAAGGATCAACTTCAATAAGGAGAAGTGGATGCACATGTAGGGTTTTAAGAGACACTAGAGGAGAACTTCAATGGTTTGGATTATTAAAAAAAAGTTATGAATTGAACTCTATAAAATAGGTGTCAAAATATGTGTCAAAATATGTTGCCGCCCATTCTAATTAATACATATTACATCAAAACTATATTAAGTAGGAATTTACAACTGGTACACGTAAGAAGAGGCTTCTAAAATCATCCATAAACCCGTTGGGTTATCTAATAGAGTCCTTGCCACTAGCGGCCAAAGTGTTTGATGTTATTAAATTTAGGTTTATGTTTTGCTATGCCCCGAAACTCAATTTTTGCATTACTTTGAAGGTATGCCGTGTATTCCATCAAATAGATGCTAATTTTGCTGATGTGGCATGGTGAGACCCAATAAATTGCTTATGTTGCAACCACATTATTTGATTTGATGTAAGGTGGTGGGACCCACCCCGCGATGCACCTGAGCCGATCTTTGAGCTCAGGGGAACTACAAGTTACCCAAACTTTTAATTATTCGAAATAATTGTTTGACCTCTAATTAATTAATTAATTAATTTCTTGGGTAAATTGTAGTTATGGTCCCTCAATTATGACTGAATTGTAGTTATGGTACCTCAACTAATAATTCATTAGGTTTGGAAGCGTTGGTCCTTCCATGCTAACACTGTTAAGTTTTCCGTCAATATGTTGACGTGGTGACCACATGGGACCTATGATTAATATAATAGTTTATGAAAATTTTAAAAACTTAAAAAGAAAAGAGCTTTCTTTTATCTCCTTCACCGGCAACAATGCTAACAACACCAAACTTTGTACCTAATTCTCTCTTCAAAACCCAATAAGAACTTTAACCGCAAAACTCATCGCAAGTATCATACCCACCCACTGCATTTGATGCGGAATTGGTTACGGAATGCGGCTGGAATGTCGGGGGTGACGCTATGATGGTGAGGGATCGGATGTCCATGCGGTTGGGAGAGATAAAAGAGTGAGTTTCGAACGGCGGAGGATGGAGGTAAGGTGTGAGTTATGGCGGGACAACACCTCTCTCTCCTGGAACATTTCTCCTTTTTAAAATTGAATAATATTATTTCATGCCACGTAAACACATTGATGGAAAATCTAAGGGAACTAACACAGAGAGACTAATGCTACACATTCTGTCAAATTCAATAACCAAATCTAATGAGTTTTTAGTTGAGTGACCATAGCTACAATTTAGTCATAGTTCAGGGACTATAACTACATTTTACTCTAATTTCTTTATTTGTCGTAGCTCACATCCAAAGAAATCATGATAATTACAACTAATTCAATTGTGTTGTTATTTGTTGTATGTGATTGAAGCCCAACGCCCTTCTCCATCATACTTGCTCCTCTCCTTTAGTCATGATTTTATAAAAAGTCTTCTCGTTAATCTTGTACAACCACTCTCCTCCACAACCTCCAGACAGCCCAATCCAATTCCCAACCGGAATTTCATCCCCAAACGATAAAATGGTGACTGTAAGTGAAAGAACGATCAGTCGAGGGGAGAACGGTGGTGTAAAGGACGTGGGAAAGGAACCACGTGGCAACTTTTAATTGGTCGTTCTGACAGCTTTGTTAATCCAACAATTCCAACTAGGATGAAATTACTGTATTGTCCTTACTCGTCGGCAAACTTAACACACCTATTTGACATAAGTGAAGCAAAAATGGAGTTTCAGTAAGGGTACAACTCGGGCCGGTTGGATAGTCAACCAACTCTAACTCAATTTTTGTTATTCCAGTTTGGGTTGGGTTCGGGTTCATGTGAGTTTAGTTAAGTTTGGATTTTAATGGGTTTGGACTTGTTCAGGTTAAGTTTGAGTTTGCTCAACTTTTTATCGAGTTCAATCTTATAAAACTTTATTTTGCATGATTTTTCAAATTTTGAACCACACAACACCATAGTAGTTAAAATTTCATTTACACATCACCATCCACACAAAAGTTAAAGCAAACAACTTGAAGACTATTTCTAATGTTTCAACAATGCAAAGTTGAAAATAAATTACAAGACTTATATCAAAGTTTAAACCAAAAGAAATGTAAAAGTAACACTACCATTCATTATCTATATGAAAACCACCAATGAACTTCAAGTATAATCATTCCAATACTTACACATAACTCATAGAACATGAAGTGTGATGCCTAATATGTGCATGAGCGAATTCGACCTCAAAATCATGTTGGGTGTGAGTTGACATGGGTAGGCAAGGCATCAACACAACCTAATCCAATAATGATTGGGTTGATTAGATTTGGGCAGATTTTTTCTTCATTCTAACCTCCTTGAAAGGATTTGAAATTGGGTTGGGCATGAGAGGGTTCTAGTTGACCCAACCCAAGTTGCCCCCTAAGTTTCAAGGTATAAAGTGGTGATACTTTTTTTTTAACAAACAATAGTATCTCTACTAAATGAGTGAGAGAATGAGCTAAGCCTTACAATGAGTTTGTCATAATAATGTGGTTCAACTTTGCCTTTGGCGAGAATCAAACCTAAGACCTTTCACTTACAAGTGAAGAGAAATACCACTAGACTGTAGTACTAAATGGTAAGTGGCGATACTTTTGTTTTAAGGAGAAAATGGAATGAAGTTCAAGTTTCATGGAGTATAGCCACAAACAAGCCTTAAATTTGTTGGAAGTTAAATGAACTTATATTTGTTGATTATTCTTTTATTGTTTCATTACCAACAAAGGAATACAACTAACTTTTTCATTTGGACCTACTCTAGCAACTTTTATTCTTTCTTTTTTTTTTTGACAAAAAAAACACCTTTTATTCTTTTTTATCATTATGCATTGTTGCACGGTGATCCGAACCATTTAAATACTTGGTCACCCTTTAAAGATCATATATGAGAAACAAATTAAATAAAATCAGAACCATTTAAATACTTGGTCATCTAATAAATGGGCAAATTATGTTTTTCAGTTAAACACTGAAACTATGACAATATTAATCAGACAGTTTTAATAATATTTGACTTGGTTCATTTCATACAAAATTTCTCTTTAAAAGGTTTAGAGAGAGACAAGTCAAATCATCAATTGTATAGATCGTCAAAATAAATGAAAAATTAAAGAAGATCCAAATAAGAAGATTGCTAGGATACTACTTATTAATTTGCATTTCGTTTATAGGAAAACTAACAAAAAGGGTTTGTAAACTTTGAATTTTAACGATAAGAAAAAAATAAAGGGTAAAGTGAATAGTATCAGGATTGACTTTTTAGTGTAAAAATATGATTTTTTGTTAAAATGAACAGTACCGTGAATTTTTCGTTAAAACTCCCTTGGTTTATTATATTTTTGTTCACGAAAATATTGCAACATATTTTGAAGCCCAATGAATACAACATGGACCAACACATACCCCCAAAACAATGCCCACAGAGATCCAACAGGCACAGTCGGCTTTGTTCTAGCCATTCTTTATAATTGTTTGCGGTAACTGATAATTTGGGAAGCAACCTAATTGGAATATTTTGGTAGAACATTTGAACCTAATCTCTACTTTTCTTACATGACAAATAAAGTCCTATTAGCCTTTAAACATGAGCCTCTATTTTGACAAAGTTATATATTCTTATTCTCCCATGAATGCGAGGAAGTTTGTTTCTTTAACCAAACAATCTCCCCCACCAAGTAATCCTTCGAATTCGTCTTCCTAATAATTCCTCAAGGCATCCCTTTATTAAAGTTTGAACCAATAGGATGACGAAAAATTGAAGCGAGGAACATATATCACGCCGAAAGATTCTAATTAAGTTAAAAGTTAAGAATATTCCGTAAACATTATCAGGGTTAGCCCAAATGATGAAGGTTGGTGAGAAAACGCGTTAGGATTAAGTTAGGTCAAAAGTTCGATTCTATTCCATTATAACAGAAGAATAGTATGAATGTGGCTCAAAACCAAGTAATAATGCATAAATTTATATTATTGACAAGGAATATATATAATCTTCGATGATTTCAATTACTGTCTCACACTTTACTGGAACAATAAATTATTGTCGCATATCAACTATATAAAAATATATATGTTCCCCAAGAGAAGATGAGTGTATTCGCTCAGTGAGATGATATCTTGAAAGTGAATGATTTGTTAAGCCATGCCTTCCAGCTACTCACCGTTCCCTTTGGAGCTGTTATCTCCGACTTTCTTTCAGCAATATTATTATTCTGCACTTGCTTCTGCTTCTTGGACAGCACAAAGTTCCTTCCCCCGCGAGATCCTATAGTTTCCCACGGACTTAAAGCTACAAAGTAAATCTAGTTAGCTCCAATTTATAACAAAAAAAATACAAAGCTAATTCGTGATAGGAATCATTTCATTATTTCTCTAAATGCATGAAACCGCTGTTTATTACGTGCATAACCCTAATTAAACTGTAGTTTCATGCATTTACCTCCAACGACAAAACCACTTTCAAATTGATTACAATGAAATAAAATAACTAGAAATGGGAATGCTAATTGCTATGCTGCTGCAGCACCACGAAATCGAAATGGACATATCAACATAAATCAGAAGAATTAGAACTCATCATCATGAAGACAAACGTCCAAATTAAAACTTGAAAATGAAAAACTTGTTGGCAGTTTGATTTGATATGTGTTTCTGAGAGCATACCGTCAGATCCTGCATTAGCACAGTGTAGAAGGAAATCCTTGACATCTGAACCAAGAACAGGTAGCCGGCCTTCGCGGGCGTAGGATTTAAGAGCAGTGTCGATGACTCGAGCTACAAGATCATCCTCGTTCACCACAAACCTTATCGGTCCTGCGCTTCCAAGAACATTAACTGTGATCAAAAACCTGTTCGTCTTCACAGTATGTGTAGCATCAGTACTGGTCTTCTTATGCTTCTGTAAATTAATTCTCTCCAAAACCTTCCTCTTCAGCATGCTTTCTTACTCTTTTTTCGCCTTTTCTTTTTCGCTCTAAGAGTATTTTAGACAAATCCAAGTAAACAAACAAACAACACTAAACATGAAACACGAAAAACGAATCTTGAGAGGAAGAAAGAGATTTGGCGTTCAGGGGTCAAGGCCAAGGCAACGGTAGTACCAAGCTTGTTTGCAAGAACCGAAGGAGGAGGAGTAGGACAGCGCGCGAAGGGCACGCGCAAAAGTCCTTTGAGAAAGGAAAGGAAGGAAGTACATGAAGAAACCAGAAGTCTCCACGATTCAAGACTCAAAGATGACAAGAAGAGGAAAGAAATTTAAGGTGTTGTCTAGAAAGAAGAATATCTTCATGAAAAGCTAGCTTCGTACAAAATATATGCCTACAACTTCCGGTTAATGATCTTAAACCAGCGTACAAAAGAGGAAGCAGATCCGCTACTCGGATTTATACGGATGCGACACGTGGTGTTGACTAGTAACATTAATTGGCTGTGACGAATAGTGTTTTTTGGCGTCTTCACTAAAATTTATTGGACAAAAATGTCCCTCAAATAAAAAACTTCAAAAACAATCCAAAATAATGTATCAAATGTGGAAAAGGTATTTTCGTCATTTTAAAGTTTTTTAATAATTATTTTTTTGTACAGTTTTTTAAATAAATAAATAATTAGTACCTCATAATATGCTAGCAATAATGTGATTCAATAAGTTGTTCATTAAATATTATTTTTTCTATTTTTAAACATGCTCAAAATTTCTTAAGAGGCGTGTAATGCTGGTTATAAAAAACGTCTTTCGTATGCGGATAATAATATGATTAAATTAGTTATCAAATGATTATTTTTTCTTTTGAAAAAACTATATTATCTACAATAAGGGGAAGATGGTGGGCTTAGCCTCATAATGGACTAACAATTATGTAATTCAATCAATTGTTTATTAGATATTATTTTCTTTATTCTTAATATTTAAGACAAGGATTCTCTTCCCTCATCTTTCCATCTCCTTCCATCCACTCCTCTCACATTCTCTATTTTGTTTTTCTCCTTCTATAAAAAATTAATATAAGATGTTGACGTGGCTTAACTGTGACCATTCAAATAGGAGGGGAGGGAAGGGGAGGGAAAAAAAAAAAGAGAAGAGAATCCTACTCCATGAATTCAATAGAGATCGATTTTATTATGTGGATTCAGTTGCTTTAATTGATTTATGAGGGATTTCTTCTAGCAAGATCTAAGATTATTCATTTAATTCAAATATTTGACTTTTATTTTGTCAATTTACGCATATAAATACATTTAGAAAGTGTAAGTTGCGTGTAGCACTTTGTGATTCAAAAAATACCTTCTGCATATGCGTGGGCGCGTGCATGAAGGCTATTAGACATAATACTATGACAAACAAAGAGAAAACCAGTGTTCTAAAAATCGGCCTAGGCGGCGCCTAGGCACTGGGCAATGGGCTTCCGTGGCGATTTTGGGCAAAATGTTCAAGAAATCGAAAAGGATCTAGGCGGCCGCCTAGGCAGCGCTAGGCGGAGCTAGATGGCCCTAGGCGGAGCTGGGCGGCCTTCGTCTTTTCGCTTTGCGTATGTGCAAACTGACCCATTGATCTCTGTCACCACTGACGAGGACGTCGACAACATGATGGAGGAGTACGATCGCATCGCACATAATCAAAACTTAAAGTCGGTGTGGCTTCGCCTCTTTCCCAGAACTTCTGTGCATGAAAACGAAGAATTACCGTGGTGGCTTAAAGGGAGTGATAGAGGGACATGTGCGGAGGAGAGATGGGAGGGTTGGAGTGGAGTGGTTTTGATTTGTTGTTTTCAAGAAGAGAAGAAGACGGAGGGTTGAAGAGAAGAAGATAGAGGGTTCTCTTGGTAACATATTGTTTGGGCCCAAAATATTAGTTTGGGCCGAGTATAGAATCATTCTCGGCTCGGGAGGCCTTACAACAAGGATACCATGGATCATGGGCCTCTAAACCTAGGACGGCTAGGTCATGACGCAGGACAAGTCGAGTCTTGGTGCAATAAGGAGTTTCGGCAGGATTAATAACCCGAAAGCGAATTCGGCTCAATTAAGGACTAGGTTCATAATTATATAGAAAATAGGACTGGTCGAGTTGTTGTTTGATCAGGAAACGAAGACCTACTCCGAGTAGGGTTTTGACTCGGCTTTAAAGGTATCCAGTGCTATAAATAGAAGAGGCTGTGCAACAAAGAAGTCTCTCCAATTCAACACATAACTGCCCTACGCAAACTCTCTCAACAACTTTGAGATTTTTATTTTCTCTTTTTGCTGACACATTTTCCGTTGGCATCAACATCACTGTGAAAACAACCGGTGATATCTTAAGTCGGCATAGATAGCTTTGTCATCGTAGAATCAGCCGGTCCCGCAGTATCTTCCGTTGGCATCAACAGCACTGCGGCGAGGACGGTTGGTTACTTATCCAAGTCTCGGTCGAGAAGGATTTCCGAATCCTTATTGATTGAGGTCGTCTCATTAGCCTTCTCGGCGAAGTGAGGTGTTACAGTTTATTGAGCTCGGCGCATTGCACGCCCAAGTTATTTTATGATTGGATACTCCCAAGTGGGATTTAGAGTTCGGCATTCAGACGGCCGAACCACGTTCACTATTAAGACTTATATTCGCTTTGAGTATTTGTGCCCTTACACTTTGGTGTCGATTCGGCGAGAGTTTACTCTGATGAATAACATCACTGTGACCGAATCTGAAGACGGCGATTTGTGAACTTCGTAAGAATAGTAACCTTGTCTTCAGGTTCGAGAGCCCAAGAGGTCGAGACGTGTTCCTTTCTCGGCCGCAATCGCAAGACGCAGAAGTCAGCCGCGCACCCAACGCAACATCAACAAATTTACTCCTCGGCTGACGAGTTGGCACGCCCCACATTCACCGAAGGACGTAGTTAGCTTATAGATTACTCGGCCTGCACGCCACGTAGGTTTGGTAGTTTTTAGGGTCAACATTTTGGCATGCCCAGTGGGACCCAGTGCTAAACTACGAAGTTCATGCCAATTGAATCACGATCGGTAAAAAAGAAAACAGCTATGGGAAAATCAACAGCCGATTTACCAACTCAGAACATAGGACACAGTGTGCCACAGGCGCAGAATCCCATCAGCGCCGTAACACCTGAGTCCACGAGCGCAACTTGCCGAGAAAGGGAAGTTAATCTCGGCGGTCAATTTCGCAGTCTCGAAATCCCCGACAGGAACACATGCGTCCTCAATGAAGGGATAATAGAGGATTGTGACGAAGATGGTGGCGAATGATCTGATCCACCAACAAGGTCGTTTCTTCGAAAACGGCTCGATGAGCAATCTCAGACGGTCGAGCAGATGTTTAGTCGAGGAATCGATAAACTTCATGACGTGATACGCAATACCAGTGAGGCACAAACCAGATTACTCGAGATACTGGTTAGTAAGGTCAGCGACGGTACGACTTTCGATCTTGCTCAACATTTGCCACCGAGAAATAATCTCTTACCAAGTGCACCGGCCGGGTCAATCCCTGCTCGGCTTAAACCAATTAACTTGGAAAGAGGATGAGGATAAAACAGTAGGTTAGACGGATCCGACCAGAGAGTGGAAGCAACACCCGTCGATATGACTGAGGTTCAACGGATGATCGATTCGGCCATAAAGAAAAGGCCGAAGTTCCCTAAATTTATACATCCGTATCCGGCTTATGTGGAACAGTTCGAATACCTTAGAGGTTTTAAAATCTCAGATTTTAGCTTTTTTACCGGAGAATCATCCTTATCCTCGTTGGAACATGTGGCTCGTTTCACTGCGCAATGCGGAGATGTCAATAGCGACTTTCACAAACTGCGACTGTTCAATTTTTCGCTGACGGGTTCAACATTTGCTTGGTATATCAACCTTCCATCGAATTCTGTCCAGAACTGGGAGAAGTTGGTCGAGAAATTTCATGAGCAGTTTTATCGACCAGGAATGGAAGTGTCAGTATCCTCGTTAGCAAGGATGGCTCAAGCATCCGACGAATCACCAATGGATTATCTTACCAGATTTAAATCAGCCAGGAATTGGTGCCGAGTACCTCTCCCTGAAGTCGAGTTCGTAAGACTTGCTCTAAATGGTCTTGACGTGGAATATAAAAAGAAATTCTTGGGGGCAAATTTTCAGGATATGTTTGAACTAGCCCAGCATGTTGAGCAGTATGATTATTTGCTCCGTGAAGAGAAGATCTCGAAAGCTCCGTCCAGAGGGACGATTTACAAAAATCCTACTGTCAGTTATGCATCGGCCGAAGGTGAATGTGTTAGCGTGGATGCAGCCGAGATAATCATAGATAAGCCATACGTTTGCAAGGCACTGACTCAAATTGACTCTAAGGAGGCCAAAACCCGCTCGGCCCACGAAGAAACAATGAAAACGTCAAAGGTCTATACTTTTGATATTACAAAGGCCAATGCGATTTTTGATCAATTGTTATCAGCAAAGATCATTAAACTTCGGCCTGGACATAACATTCCCAAGGCCGAAGAGCTTAAAGGAAAGATATATTGCAAATACCATAATTCAAGTAAACATACGACAAATAATTGCGTCGTGTTTCGAGACAACGTCCAAAGCTGGATTGATAATGGCAAACTGAGATTTTTAGAGAAGAAGATGAGCGTTGATACTGACCCATTCCCCACGGCAACAGTAGGTATGGTCAATGCGTGCCTACCTAAGGACAAAGGGAAAGGGAAGGCCGAAGCTGTTGTGACGCAACGCTTTCGAAATCAGAACTCTCGGCCACGTTTCATGGTCGATTTTCGTTTAAACGAACCACCTACAGCTTTAACGGGACCCGCTATTGTCAAGCCTATGATGGATTACAGCACTGATGAAGACAGTGGGACGGCGATTTTATGCAGTAAATGTAAAGCAAAGGTCAACATTGAGCCAGAAGAAAAGTCCTCTCCGCCTATAATGGAACAACCTACAGCCGCAACCCAGCAAAAGGCGACCAACGTAGGCCAACATCAAGGGGTTTTTGATAGGCTCGGTCCTAAAGTGAGGATGAAAGAGACACCTTCAGTCAGACGGCGCCTCGATTTTGATGCTCCGTTCTATGACGAGGACTATTATATACGTAACTCTAGCAGCTCGGAATCATCGCGGAGCCAAAAACCTTTCAAACCTCCCGAACCTAGAGACCAACGTTGGTATACATATCACTCTTCGAAAGACGTTTACACTGCACTGTCCAAATCCCAGAAACGCCGGCACCAAAGAATAGATTGCATGGCCCGCCGACGGGCAGCCCAAGAAACTTCGGTCCCTAAATGGCGGCCGAAGGACACAATTGCCACCGACGACGAACGACCACCTCCAGCGATTATGACAG